CTAATTACACTGAGAGAGATACTTGAGAGCACCCTTAAAGTTATGACTTTTGATGAGTTCGTAAGTGGATACAAAAACGAGTCAAATTGGAAACTAAAAGATGGACGTCTGATTATTGATGTGCTCACAACAAACTTCGCTCGAGTTGCAAACTTTTTTTTTAACAAAAATAGAAAAGAACGAACACCATACGTTAGGAGTGTAATTCGGTATGCAGTAATATTGATACTGTATAAACTAATGTAAAATATAGATATGCTAAAAATATCTAAATATAGTTCGAGATTTTCATCAATCGTCGATTTGTCTTCAGAATTTCAAGACAGGATGTACACATGGTTCGGAGACGATTGGTATGACATTAAAAAGAAAGTTTATGAAACAATTGATGCGGTGCCAAAACCTTTTGAAGACAACGTAAATGCTATTATTGATTGTTAGCATATTATGATTACATAAAATTTAATACAAATTAATAGTATAATGACGATATTTATTACGTGTGATTTGTATTGTTTTTATGTAATTGTAATATTTTATGCATTATACCATTACCGTTATTTAATTGTCAAATTTAAATGTGTAATTCTTATCGCTATGTTGATGCACGAGACTACTTGTATAGGATACGGCTTAAAGAGATTCTTTAAAGATTCGGCAAATTGCAACCATTTATTTCCATGTGTAGGATAAATAACTTTTTCCTATCATATTACATGATTATCGAGATCTTATATTAACAAATTTATTTTAGTATCGATAAATTTCTTGAAGATCCTGAGATCTTACCGAGATAGAATATGTAATAAATATGGCAGGACCTATTCTAGATGATGTTTCGGTGATGTAAAGATATTATAAGCATTCGTTGGAAAGTTATTATTACAGTCACCTATATTTGTAGACAATAATCTTCATTTTCGTATATAAGGGCGATACGAAATCCAAAGCCGTTGATGGGCATCGGCGTAAGATTGATTTGAGAATTGTTTGTAGAAACAAATACATTGAGTTAAGTCATGCAGAATGCACAAAGGCGCCAACTCCTTGTAAAGCTGTTAATGATCGATCAAAGTGTCTGAGAACACAAAAAAATGCATCCTTAACAAATTTCTTAAAGATTTCTATGATGAGGAAGCGAAAGATTCAACAATTTTTGGTGTACAATTTGCTGGTGAAGTTCGTCTACTTTTGATTGTGATTAATTTAACGAATGATATTAATTATCAACCAATTATTATTACGTAAGGCCTAGAAGGTCAGATAATCGGAATAGATCTTCTAGATGATGGTCTTTATTTCGGTCTCGAAGGAGCTCAATTTATTTTTCCTGCCCAGCTCTCAAACATAGAATGCCTTCGTGATGCACTTCAAACATTATATTATTTCAAAGTAAGATATGAAACCACTTAATAAATTTTAAATTCTGAATAGAAATTTCAAGAGTGCAATAGGAAATGCAAATAGGGTTTATCTATTTTGATTATTCCATTTCTATCCTCTAGTTCAAAAATAATTTATTAGAAATTAAACTTATTATGAACATGTACAAAAAATTGCTTAAATAAATTACTAGCGTAATTCTTCATATAATTTGAGTTTATCACGATTCGAATTATGACGAGATTAGCGAGCCGAACAGATTAGGATTTCAAAATTAAAGCGCGGGAATCTAATTTTGACAGAAATAGATGGTATGTTTATTTTCAATTAGTGATATTTCATTTTCTGATAAACTTGAAATGATCTTTGTTGTTGAAAAGTTTACTTATTTTGTTAAATGGGAGCCTTAATACTCCCATTTGATACACCTTCATCTGAAATTTCCATTGTTTCTATAAATTATAATTTAAATTTTACGATTCGAATAATCGAGTAAATTACTCAATCAAATGATTCGAGTATTTTTTTGCGCTTAATTCATGAATCGCAAGTTGAGATGAGTCCTGTCTCGCGATCAGGTGATTTCTGATCGTTCGAAATCTCATAATACAGCCAGATACCGTATATAGCGCTGCATATAGTACCCACCTGGAATAGTATCCCCTTTTTTTTGACAAGTGAGTTATTTGTAGTCCAAATTTTCATAATTAATAGTGCGATCTTTCATTAGGTTTGATATGTGATCAGTAACAATTATTTGTATTATCCTCCCATCTTCCAATATTTGGGGGGTATTATTCAATCTAGGCCGGCTTTCTTGAAAAATACCCGGGGTACTATATGCAGCGCTGTACGATATGTCTCTCAACTTCATATTAATAACCTATCTTATAGTCATG